TGTTTTTTGTTTCGGTGAGCTGTGGTGGGTGCAAAAGGGATGAGAAAGAACGAATCAAAATGTCGACAATTTCCACAGACATAGTCATATGGTGTAGTAGCAGTGGTAGTAGACAATGCAGCTGTAAATAAAATGCACCAAAAAATTGCTTAATATCATAGTGGCAGGGGTGTTTGAGGTACAGATATGCATGTGCATTCATGATACAGTGGGATAAAGCGAATAGTAAAGAGTTTAAAGATTAGAGAATTATATTCAACTTGAACTAAACCATCGAATTAATTTGAATAATTTTTCAAAGAGAATTCCGTCCTCCGAATAATATACTTTTGAATGCATGAAAATATGTAGAAACCATAACATCCGAGCACATAAAATAATAGTCCATGGAAAGAACTTATTAAGTGGCGCCCAACGTGGGACCTAAAATATATTTATTTTCTTTTTTTTTTGTGAGTTCTCGTGATTTTGTTGGGGTATTTTATCCACTTGATTATTTATATTCTCGTTAACATTTAAAGTAAAAAAATATACATCAAATTCATATTTAAATATATGTGGCGCCCAAAGTGCGGCTCCAAAAATAAATGCTAGGGTTCTTTAATATCATGGTTTCTAATATATTTTCCGCTGCTTTTTTTATCAAATTATATTATTTTTCTCTCTTGTCAGGTTTATTTGATACATCGCGTTTACATTAGGAAATTATAAATTATGTGTTTATATGGCGCCGAACGTATGTTTTGAAAAATCGATGCTGCAGGTTCATAAATATTGTAGGTTTCTTTTATATTTATGTGATTATTTCCATCTTTACCCACTGTGCACATTCCACACACATTTGTATAAGATTAAGTGTTCCTACGGCAGACAATAAAATGAATGGCAGAAATGTGTTGCAACTTTCGGCTATGTTTTGCTGATGCAATACATCGTCAATCTTTGCACGACATACATACACACAATGTACATGAGTATTTCCCCATATGTATATGTGTGTAAACAGAACAGAAAAAAATCGACTCTGATCAACTCCCACTAACACAAACTGCAACTGCCACAATTTAACTTATTCTTTCTTTCACAGACCTTATGAGTGCGTGTATGAATGTGTGTGTGTAAATATTTTATATCTAAAATATATGTGTATGTGTGTGTTTGCATAATAATGGATAGACATATAATAAGGACTTTAGGCATTTTAATGATTGACTTGTAGAGATTGAAATCCTCATGCATTTCCCCTCCCCCAACACCACCGCACTTAGAGATCCAACCATGCGAACCGTTGACTGGCCCACCACGCAAAAAAACGCTACACTAAAAACCACGAAAAGATAGAAATATCATATACACATATAACAATTTGGCTCTAACAAATATTACAAAGTGCATTCAATGCATATTTGGTTGCATTCTGCAAGCCCCAGTCCCCCCTCCTACCGCTCTTTTTTCTGTTTAGCAAATAAGCCCAGAAAAGTTTAATTTTTTATAAACCACAAATCTATTCTCAGAGATAGATTTTCGCCGTTGTCGTTTTACGATACAATGAATTTTATATGTCTAAAGGTTTTGTTGTTGTTGTATTTTGTATTTTTTTTGTTTCGTTTTCCTTTTTGATTTCTAATGATGGCTAAGTTGATGTGTGTATGGCATTATTGGAGGACGGCGACGACGAACAGGCTTATTGTTGAAAAAGATGCATTAAAATCCGCAATGCAGCCAATATTGCATATTGCACTCATTTTGTGTTTTATTATTACCCATCGCCCAACTACCGCCACCACTACGTTGTCGATGAGTAGTAGAGGAAATTTTTATCCTCTTTTTGCGAGCAGTAAAAAAAAACTTTTTCCAGAGGCTTACGAAATTCAAAAGTAGATAATGTGTTACATATGGGTGTTTCCATGGAGGGTATTCCATATGGAAGAATCTAGATGTTGAAAGAAGAATATAGTTTTAAGGACATAATTGCCTTTAAGTGTGGATTTTTTAAGATTTTTAAGGGTTTTATGGCCTACAAAAGGAATATTTTTGATTTAGGACTCTATGGCCTTCCACGTAGATTTTTAAAAATATGGTTTATACTCTAAGCGTGGATTTTGTATCAATATTTTTCAAGGACTCTATGGCCTATAACATGGATTTATTTAAAAATATTTTTGAAAGACTCATTAACCTTCATAAAGAAGAACTCTATGGCCTATAACATGGGGTTTAATTTTTTTAAATCATAGGTTTTTTATGAATATGTTTCAAGGACTCTATGGCCCATAACATGGATTATTTAAGTATATTTTAGAAGGACTCTATGACCTATAATCGTAGATTTTTAGGAATTTTTATTCAAGGACTTTATGACCTATAGGCGTGGATTTATTGAAGCATATTTTTCAAGGACTCTACAAGCGTGGATTTTTAGGAATATTTTTCAAGGACTCTACAAGCGTGTCTTTTAGGAATATTTATTTAAGAACTTTATGACCTATAAGCTTTAATTTTTAGAAATATTTTTCAAGGACTACATTCTTGAATTTGAAAGAATATTCTTCTAGTAGTTTTTTTAGGGCTATATAGATTTAAATAGATGAGAATTTGTTAACCCAAATTTTTAAAGACTTTCGCGGATTAAAAAAATTTTTGAAAAGGTCTTCAGCTTAAAGCTTATTTTTAGAGGATCTTTTACGTCTCAATTGTGGGGGGTTTTCATGCAATACTTTTTGAGGGACATACTGATTTCCTTTCTTTGATTTTTCATGAATAACTTCTTAAAGAACTATACGTTCCATGTTTTTAAAAGGACTATTACCTTCACAATCCTGGATTATATAACGTGTTTTAAAATCACAAGTAGTTCTTTATGTTACACGTCTTACAATTCACTAAATGACCATGTGGTCCACCAAACTCCCTCCATGCAGTAGTCCTCCCACAACATGGAACAATCCATATACCGTCCATATGCTCGTTTAAAAGAACATAACTTGCGTTTATTAGCCTTGGTCTGCTACAAACAGATAATCACACAATTGTAGTGGCTGGGCTTGTTTGAGGTGGTAAGAGTGAGCCTTCCCCAATATGGCAGTAGTAGTAGTTGATATGCGTGGTCGTAATGGAAAAAAGAGGATACTTAGGAGGTTTCACACAATGCCGAGAGGATGGGAAGGAGGAAGGCGGTCGGTCGGAGTGCTTTAGGATAAGACCAATGGATTTTGTTTGTTATGAGTTTGATTTGGTGAAATTGAAAAAAGGAAACAAAACAAAGCTGAACTGCTTTAGATTTTCACCGGATTTTGGTGTGTGTGTGTGTGCGTGCGTATTTGCCAGGCATATCCTTCAAAAAGTTGCTGATATATTTTCTGTTGTTGCTGCTACTGCTATATTCTGTTCATGCATTCACTTCTATGCACTGCATGTTATGTTATAAATCGTATCCTTTTGGGCCATAAGTGTTGGCAAATGCAACACATATGCATTTGATTTGGTGCTATTGCTTCCTTTGGCAAATAAAGAAGAAATTCCGGGTGTGGGTGGGTATTGTGCATTCTGGCCAAGTGCAACGGATGGGCAGGATGTTCGTTTGTTTGTTATTTGCAAAAAAATATAGATGAGAGTCTCTATGCAAGTGTGCCATTGTGCGAGTGGGTGGGTGTGTGTGTGTGTGATGGTCTTATGCACTTTGTATTTGAAATTTGGAGTATTACATTTATATATTTGGGGCCAACTGCATGGTTTTTATTTGAATCTTGGTTGGGTTACTTATCATTGATGGGCTTCTTCCTTGCCACTTCGAGAACTCGTTATATTTGGCTGGCCATTGAGGGAGCTCAAAAAAAAAAAAAACAACAGCCCAGCGCTTTTTTGGTGCATTTCAGTCTTCTTTGCCAAAATGCATTACACAAAGCCAGAAGCACACACACTCACTCACACACCCTGATACGCAGCAATTGCATTTGCTGCATTGTCAATGTTCTACTTCAGACATCATTTTGGAGAAGGCATTGTGTCAGTGTGGGGGCTATGTTTTATTCCTTTGAATTAAAGAGGGGAGGCCATTTGCTGACTGACTGACTGTTTGGTGTTGGCCATAGCTTGACTGGGCCATATTGCAATCATATTTTTTGAGGTTACTTTTGATGTGCTGTGGTGTGAGTCGTCAAAATGCAAACTTATAAAAATCGTTGTTTTGTCTGCGATTGCATTTTGGCTGACTCTCTAGCTAGCCTGGCTTTTGCTTTGGCTGATGTTTGTTGTTTCGCATTCATAATTACATTTTGCCTCTGGAGTACATATGACTGGCTTGCTTGCATGCTTGCATTTAGACCGATTGTGAAAGAAACAATAAAGTTAAAGTAAAAGACAACGTTGGCGCCTGCATTCTACTACAATCACTACAACCCCTCTCCCTTTGCCCCCACCCTCTACAAAAGTCCTACTTTCATTGAGAAAAAGAAATTTGCTGTTGTTGTTGGTCAGAGTGATGGCGATGATGATGATGAGAAGGATGTTATTAAACAGCAACAACCAAACAAAAAAATCTGCAAGTGGTTTGTGTGAGAACGCCACCACATCTGCATCTCATTGAGTCCGAGAAGGAAAAGAAGGAGGCGATGCATGTCGAAAAAGAAAATTAAATTGTATGCCATAAAGGATATTCCCAAAAGGATATATGTAATGCCAAAAAACCCTGTCAAGTCAAAAGTCTAGACGCTGTGTACATTCAGCGAGCGTTTTATATAGAGAAAGTTGTCCGAAAAGTGCATGTTTTCTGTTGTTGTTGTTGTTGCTGCTGCTATTTCGGCAACATTAAAAAAATACTTGAACAAGCTTGGGTTGAGTTTTGTTGTTGTTGTTTGAAATATGAAAATTAATATTTTTCTTTATATGGAAAACAGTTTTTGTGGTCTCTAAACTAATAATTAAAATTTGGCTCAGTTTAAAATCTTTTATAATGGTCTTACTTAGTTTAACTGGAGTTTACAAAAAATGGAGCATTGAACTTACCTGAAAAGAGAAGAAATTAGAAAATAAAATTATATGATATTTTTAAAAGAGAATAAAAAAATAATTATTTTTGTGAAGAAATATCACTGAATAAAATATCAGGATGAAAACAATCGTGGATTTTCTAAGAATTGTTGTGGGGCTATAAAAATGATGAATGATACTATGGCAGATTAAAAAAATATTTAAGCACTGCCAGAGCTATAACTATTGAATACAAAATAACACATCGACCTTTAATTATTATCAGATTTATAGCCGCTTTTAAATCATTTTTAGGGACTACCAGAGCTAAAAGCTTGGATTTAAAAATATATTTTTCAATGGTTTTAAGTGTTGGATCATGGATTTTACAGGGCGTTTCACCCAAGGTTTTTCTGAGGAAAAACGCTGGGAGTTTACAAATATTTGTATAAAAACTTTAAGTGGATTTAAGGAATAGTTTTCGAAAATTTATCAGAGATGAGATCTAAACTTTAAGCATATGTTTTTTTTTAGAGAGCTACAACAAATCTTCGCCAATAAAATAAAAAATAAAGTTGTGTGGGTTTTTAGCTTTATTACAAATCATGCCTTACCCCTCATTAAGACGCAAATTGAAAGAAATCCGACCATGACCACTCTGTTTGACATGGATTTCATGTTCAATATTTTTAGCCCACAGGGAGCACAATATCGAATATTTTACATTACTAATGACATTTGAAATTTGTACAGCAATAATGCGTTGAAAATCTGTCGAATTATAAAATCTACCATAATTTTGCTTTGAATAATCCACGGGTCCACTGGAAAATTTATGTTCCACCATTCTTGAAATATTTACAATAGAGGCATTATAGAATCGTTGTGGTAAATAAACCAATAGTAGTGGTGGATTCGATTGACATGATACCCAAATACGACCATGGCGTTCTTCTTCAGACATTTCTTGTAAAAATCGATATAAATCTGGTGGAGCTTCTTGTGGTAATTCCTCGGGCTTTTCTATAGTTTCACATTGGAAACCAATAATGCGATTTATTTTCAGGAAGACACATGGCCTAGCCTGGGCATAGCCGTATTCCTCGCCACTGGTACAGTTGCCAAAATAATTCTCCGGTATATCACCATATTTCCTTAACGACTTCTCAATGTGTTCCACAAATACTGCAACTTCATCTTCATTTTGTGGATTATAGAAAATATTCATTTCCGAATTAATTTGGGGTTCAAAACTAAAGCCAGGTTGTTGCATTGACCATTTTGGGCGATGATGTGGTAGCGTTAGGCGAAATGCCACATAACACAATGCCGATAAAATTGCCAGTCCGCAGTAGAAAACAACATAGAATAGCAGAAGATAAAGCCAACGTTTTGGTGTTCGTCCCAAATAGGTCCCATATTCCAAATCGAGAATATTTTTATGCCATGATTGTTGTTGCCTGACAAATTCACGTTCTTCTTCGTGACGAAAGCGTTTGCGCAAACGAAAGGGTTCTTCGAAATTTGACATTTACAAATTTAAAAATAAAATTTAAAAAAATTAATGTTTTTTTGTTGGTTTTTTTATTGATAGTTATCAGGAGAAGGAGGCAATGGTTACCAATTCAAGTTATAATGGTTGGAAGAGCTTTAGAACAAATTTATTTATTATTGCCTATAAGAGTGGATGTTTGTTTAAGGACCACCAAATATAAATGGGTGGAATAAAAAAACACAATAACTATTCGAGGAGTTTTCTCAACAGTTTTATCAAGAATTAACAAAACTGAACCTGGATAAAAAATATTTTTTAGTTTTTCTACTTTTTCAACGATCATCCACATAGCGTGGATTCGGAAAAAATATATTTGAAAATATATATCTAAAATATCAAAGACTTTTCAAGGACTAGCATTGTTTTAAATTTAAAATTATTTAAATTTTATTTTGAATGACGATTTTTTTGTTTAAATTTAAATTATTCCAAAATGATTCCATTACCACCTACACACTTGAAGATATTTGAGATTACCTTGAAAGAAACGGCAGTAAAAACGGAAACGGATGAGTGAGAGAGACAAATAATTGTTACAACAACTTCATAGAACTCCACATAGAAAAACAACAACAGCAACGAATATTAGCAACCGGGTACTTCAGTTAAAACAAGGAAACACTTTACCGTCACTGGTGTGTGTTAAATGACAACCTTAAACTATTTCAGTTAAACTTCCAAGCCAAAAGAAAACAACAACAACAAACTGAAACAACTTGCGATTGGAAGGTGGGCGAATGGGGTTGGGTGGTATAACACAGCACTTTGCCACCATAAAGCTTTGCCGAAAATTTTGCCACGTAAATTTCAAGGAATTACTTTGTTTTGTTTCAGCAACAACAACAACATTGTTTCCCCCTCCTTTCTACTCCTCACCCTCAAAATGGCAACAACAAAATTTTGCTAAACCATTGCCTGGCAGCTTCTTTTGCCTTTACCATTGAAACCATTGCGAATAACTTGGAAGGTAAGCAGCACAAGTACCGGATTTTTCTCTCACAACAACATCAGCAACAACAACTACTACTTAAATTATGTAAAGACCAAGAAGGGAGCCTACAACAAGAACACCACCTCTAGCAATGGCTTAAGCAGCAGTAGTCGAGCAAGAGTTTGCAACAAAAGTTGTAGAAAATCTACTTGGAATGGCTGGCAGCAGAGCGACAGAGAGACAGAGATATCAAGAAGGGCGAGGGCAGTGTTACCAACGGCATCAGGCACATTAATTAATTAAAAATAAAAACAACAAAAAATGCAAAAAACCCTAAAACGTAATACAAAATAAAAGTTCAAAGATGACTTGGTTAGTTTTAAGAAGGGGGCGCCAGGGACCACCAAGCCTTTGCGAAAGAAGCAGCACAAGATGGAGAGGTCGACAACAAGAACTTTTCACCGTAGTCGTCCTTGTTATTATTGCTGCTGCAACCAAAACCATAACGGAATGCCGTGGAGGAGTTACACAAAGTTGAAATGAGTGGGGCCAAGTAACAGTGGCGGCAGTAGCAGCAGCAACAACAACAACACAAATAAATAAATGCAACGGATGCAAATATATATTTTTTTCATTATAATTTCACCATGCCCAGGCTAGGAGAGTGGGAGATGTTTGAGGAAGACCATGCCAGAAGAAGAACTAAGAAACACTGGACCAGCAGTTCAACGTGCCCAAACCAGTTAAACAAAAAATACAAACCAACCACCAAGTATTTTTGAAAAAAAAATACGCAAATCCAAATATTGGGGAGTAATAAGGCGAATATCAAATTTAGAGGAAAACCGTCCACAAAAGTAAATTGCATTAAAAATGAAGCAAACAGCCACGGACCATCATGGACAGTTCTTCTCTCTTCTGAACTGGGTGGACAGTTGCAGGAAATACATAAAACAAGGGAATTAAAACGAAACAAAAAACTTTTCTATTTGTTTCTGTGTGGGGCGTAAGAAGGGGTACCCATGAAGATGTTAAACAGCTTCAAATGCAGCCATCGGCCAAGCAGTAACAATGGATTTGTTTTATTGTTGTTATGATTTTTTTTTTCATTAGCATTGAACTGGCCTTAGTGTTCTGCTGCTGCTGCCGCTCTTGCTGTCAAATGCATTTGCTAACGCACTACAGCGCTGCACCGCACCGCACTGATTATACTGATGGTCGATGATGACTACAATTGTAGCCTGTGGCTGCTACGGCCACACGGAAATCCAGAGAGAGTCGAGTCCATTTGACCAAAAGTAAACAACAATAATTTATAAAGGACTTCCTCCCGCACTGTTAAGTACTTTAACTAGAAATGATTTAGCGAATCGGGGTATTTTTTTCTTTTTAAGTGGGGATGGTAAGGTCCTCAGTAAATACTGAGGAACATTTGTAATGATGATTGTTTGATTAATATGTATTCAATATATGAGTTAATTATTGTATTTAAATTTATTAAATGTTGTAAGGAATAAAAATACTTGCAACATTTAATTATCATCAAATCAAATGCATCTTAGGCCAATATATTTTTTTTAAATAATAAAGCGTATAGTTCTTATATTCCGAAAGAGATATTATTTAGAACTCCTCACCTAAAACTCTGATAGTTTTTGGGGAAAATGTCATTGGAGAAATTCTTTAAAATCCCCGCTGGTAGTTTTTGGGAAAAGATCCTTGAGAAAATATTCTTCAAAAATTCGCTCATAAAGCTCTGGTAGTTTCGGTAAAAAGATAGCTAGGCAATGCTCTTTAAATCCCCGCTATAAACTCTGATAGTTTTTGGAAAGCAATTTTTGGGAAATACTCTTTAAAAATCCACACTTATAGCTTTGATAGTCTTTCAAAAATATACTTTAAAAATACATGTATAAAGTTCTGATAGTCCTTTTAGAAAAAATCGCCTTTAAGCTCTGAATGTCCTTGGAAAAATATTAGAAAAAATCCTCTTTACAACTCTAATACAAATTCAAGACTCAATTTTTGATAGTCCTTGGAAAATATTCATCAAAACTTCACTTCAGTTCATATACTCCTTCAAATAATGTTTTTTAAATCAGTTTATATCTTTCATGTTCCTTTAAAAATGCATTTTTTCAATCTTTGATAGTCCTTGGAAAATATTCTTTAAGACTTTACAATAAATGCTAAAAGTTCTTGGGAATATACCCTTCAAAATCCGATCTAAAAAGGCCTCTTTTAAAGCTCTGATGGCCCTTTATAAGGACTGATATGGTCTCCTTCAAAAATGTTTGTTTTTCATACTTTAAAAATACATGTATAAATTTTTTGAGTTAGCTGATAATCCTTCAAATATATATTTCGGGAATGCACCGTTATATGGGCGATAATCCTTAAAATCTTTAAAAAGTTCACTCCGATAGTCCTTCAAAAGATTTATTTAAAGTATTCACACCTATGGCTCTTGTAGTCGTATCAAAATCGTATTAAAAACCGCGCTCCAATTGACATTCAAAAATATATTTAAAAACCCAATCGTATTGCTCCGATAGCCCTTCAAAACTTTTAAGTCTATTGCTCTAATAGTCCTTCAAAAATACGAAGAACACATGCCTACATATCCCATAGCCTGCAAGAATATTCTTTTTATGAGCGGGGGCTCTAAAGCAATTTTTTTTTGAAAATATATTTTGTAAAAAAATCCTTCTAACAATTCCGACAATAATTCGGAATAATAGTTATACTACAAATTTATAATAAAAATTTCTTGTAAAATTAAAAAAAAATAATTATTTCTTTAGAATTACTCTATATTACACACATTTCCTGACTTCACAAATTAATACAATAAACAAAATTACAATAATAATACATAATAACATCGCAAGTACAAAGCCAACTCGTTTTCCTTCACCTCCTCCTCAGCATACACTGTCCTAACATTCCTTAATTTATAGTACTCGAAGTTTTTTTGTTTGTCATTGCTTTCCAGTTATTTGTCTACCAGAGCATCTTTTTGCTCATTATTCATTCATAATTTTAATGAAACGATGAGGGGCGGGGGACCCAACAACAACCGCACCAGCATACGCATCATACTTTTAGCTGCATCCTTTCACATCTTCTCGTTTTTTTGTTCCAGTAGCAGATTTCAAAGAAATACTAAAATTCATTTATCCTATTTGCAATGCTACAGCTTTTGTTTCGTCTTTACGACCACCACACCCGCAGCAGCAGTAGAAGTAGCAGCAACATCTTGCCTCCATTGCATCTTGGCTTGAGTTTCGTTGCAATTTCTCTTGAATTGTTGTTGGCGTTTTTTTCTGTTTTCTTTCACATGATGCTGCTGCTGATGATGATATTTGCTTTTGTGTAAATTTCTTTAGCTGTAGCATACCCTCAATTTCATGGATTATGATGTTGAATATTAAAGGGGGAAGGAGTGGGTTCGGGTGGTTTTCATTTGGGTTTTTTTGTTGATGTTGTATTGCACTTCTTGTAAGGCTTAACTAAGAAAGACATTTCAATTTGGAGCAACAAAATGCCCTGCAAAGAAACTTGAAAACCGGACTAAAAGTGGGCAGCATTGTTGTTGCCATGCCGGTGGGATGGGGATTAACAAAGATGCAGGACAAGTTGAGAAGGCATATTTTATTCATATATTTTTAGGTTTTTGGGGGTTGCCACCGTACACTGCCAAGGTATATGTGGGGAATAAATGTCCGGTTTTGAGGAGTGCAGGGAAATATGCTGCAATAACTAATATGCTCAACTGGGTGGTGGGTGAGGGGTAGGTAGGGACTTCATATGTTTATTTGGAATACAAATATATACGAGGTGAGTTGTAGGGAAATATGAACAAATCAATAAATACACTCTTAAGATTTAAAAGCCCTTTAAAAGTATTTTGAAACAATTCAAGTGTCTGTAAATAATTTTAAAAATATAATTCTTTTTTGGGTAATTTTCTTATATAAACAATTTTCTTATAAATATGACGATCTTGAAAATAATAATAATAATCTCACCAGTTAGATTTGAT